TTGTATGTGAAGTTATGAAGTACTGCTATAGGTGCTACTGAAATATGTTGTGAGGCTGGGAAACACCTACAGCAGCCTTTCATTGCAGCCTTTCAGTTGCAACAAAGGAGCAGCTATCACTGGCCAGGCAGGTGTTAATGACCCATCAAGGAGAATCCACTCTCCCAGAGGCATTTTGGAGAGGGCACATATGCAATGGGAACTGCCTGACCAATGAAGACTGCCTGACCCCCATGTCACAGCAAGGGTCTTTCTAGCAGCTGAAAGAAAGTATAAATGAGGGACAGTGACATCATCACTTGGCCTCCCCCCAATCTCAAACCTGGAAGACAGTCTGGAAGACAAAGACTTTGAACTAGGGAGACTGGTCCCAGACTGAAAGGGAGTCCGGTCTACGTATTGAGGAACTGTAAGCTGCCTGTAATATCTGCTAGCGTGAGAGACTGCTTGATTCAAACTTAGTCTGTTACCTACTTCTTAGCTAACCAACTCTGATCTCTATGCCTGCATCTTATAATCACTTAAAATCTATCTTTAGTTAATAAATCTGTTTTATATTTTACCTGAAACAATGTGGTTTTTGTTGAAGGCCTTGGGGATTCTCAGCTTGTATTACAAAGACTGGTCCATGTCCACCTTCCTATGAAGAAGTGGTGAACTAAGTAATGAGCTTGTACTGTCCAAGGGAGTCTTGAGCAGTGTAAGATGGTATGTTTCTGGGATGCAAGGCTGGGGGCTGGGGTGATTGGCTGGTGCCTCTCTCTGTGTGATTCATGAGTGGCTCAGGGAGCATTCATGCAATTTAGTTGGGTGGGTGGCTCCACATGTTGATGGCTGAGTGATCACAGCACCTGGAGGGATTTTGCTGCTTGTCACTGGCACAGCATTGTGTGAGATAACAATCCAGCCTGGGCTAAAGGAGCCCAGTGGTCCCACACTGTTCCAGGTTGTACCCCAAGAATCCCATCCCAGCCTCATTTAAAAGACTCTCAAAATATTGTTTCCACGTCTCTTTCACTTGTTCAGGTGTTACTAGAAGTCTTCCCTGCTTATCCTTTACAAATGGTGTTGCAATACCACCCTCATTTGTGTCTCATTGGAAGTTTCAGAAATTTTTTTCCATTGACTTTTTCAAAATTACACAGTGGCTATAGATCTTTTTGCCAGCCAGCTGTGGATAGCTGACAAGCTCGGTGCACAGGTTGTCTAGGACACTCTGGCCTTCTTCACTGCTCATTTGGCAGCTCACTTTGCTTCTTTGTATTTGCTGTCATTTGCACTCCATAGGTTCATTTCTTTTACACGCCATTTTTTTATTTCAGATTGCAACCTGCACTTCATTGGTCCACCGCCATTCCCCTGTTTCATTTGGTTTCCTCACAAAACTCTTCCATCACTGCAGTCCATGTTCCCTTGAGATGGTTCCACTCCTCTTCAGCTGGTGCCAAATCTATTTCCGGATACCTATCCTGGACTGTCTGCATAAACTTCTCTGCCACACTTCCCCTTAACTTCCTGTACTTCAATCTTGTTTCTTTCTAGCTTATTTCCCACCTTGTCCAATGCTCTACTGCAGCTTTTGCCACAAGAGGCTTGTGCTGCAGCACTAACGTCTCAGTCGGTATCTCTTTGTAGTCCATAAGTCAACTCCTCCACTGAGATTTCCTTACCAACATCAGTCTGGCATATGTTTCCACCATTGATGTACATGACCACATGACTGATTGTAATAGGGCTGCCACCTACTGCCTCCAAAACACCCGCTTCTGGCCAAGGGTGCCACTGCAGTCCCCTGCCTCCGTTTCCCCCTTCTTCAGTGCTTCTTAACCAAATTCCACATTCCAAAGGTAATTAAACATTCCCCACTTGGGGGTCCAATTTGTCTAGTCCTCATGTCCACTGGCCATCCAGACCCCAACCCAATTTCAGTGTGTCTCTACTGTTAATAGAAAATAACACAAAGTCTTTCAAAATAGAACACAAACTCACACAGTGCTCACCCCAGTTCTGCTGGGCACAGCCTCTCCTCCCTGTCGTTGTGTCCCCAGCACCTTCCTCCTGGAGTTTGGCATTCTTCACTGGCCTCTCTGCTGATGCCTTCCCCTCTTCAGGCTCTACAGGAGCCTTCTTACTATCTACATGTGTAGCCACGCTTTCCTAGACTTTTTAAAGTTTTAAAATATAATTTCCCCCCTTCCTACAGCTTCCTGCTGCTTTTATACTGGAGTCACCTGATTCTGTTGGAGCTCATTCTGCAAGCAGGGTTGCCTACCCCTAGCTCTCCAGCTATTTTGCTTTTGGGACCATGTATTGGCTATCACCCATTAGTGAGCAACACATTTGTCTAGTACCACTTTCCCTTCCTCATGCATGGTGCCTATGGTGAAATTTCCTAAGCATATGTCATACCCCCTTCTTTTCTTGCCTGTGTGTTCATTGATATCACTCAGCACCAAGAGCAGCACCTCTGGCCTCTGGTGCTGCTGTATCCACTAATGCCCACAAGTTGGAACCTCTCCTTTTCTTTGTTGCATCCTTGCTGAGGTGCATATGCTGATATCACAAACAGAGCATACTCTTTAACTTGGTCTCATACAGCCATGAGTCTGTCACTTAGTCTAAAAAGTTCAGTCACCATCTTCTTCAACTCTCCTCTTACTGCTCTGACTCCATTATGGTCCCCTTAGTCACCCATGTAAAAGAAGTTACAATTTAAGACCAACGCCTTCACTATGTTCCCAGTCTACCATGTTTCCTGTAGGCACAAAACATAATTACCTCTCCTTACCATCATATCAGCTACTTCCATGCCTTTACATGTCAAACTGGATACATTCATTGTTGCTGCTTTTATGGCATGAGATTTCTTTGCTGTGCAGGCCACTGCTTTTTGTTTGACTCTGCTCCTACTGCTAGTCCCCTGAGTCTAGAGAACTGTTTAGGTGCCGGCCACCAGAAATCTTACTGGGCTAGGGCTACCAGGCTGGAGGTGAACAAACTTCTGGTATAGGGCTGAGATACCCTCCCACCATTAGTAGTGGTCCCTGGAGGAGAAGCATACAGATTAGTCTCATCCCTCCTCATAACCGGTATCTACTACTGCTCTTTGGTAACTTGTCAAAAGGAAGAAACTGCTTGCACCAATGTATTTCAGCGTGCTAAAAGAGCAATATGGATGCTGGAAGGTTGGGTGGCAACTTGAGCTCTCAAGCCCACCCACCCTTGGGTCTGGGCTCAGGTAGCTAGCCCAAGTCTCTGTTGGAACCACAATGTCCACACTGCTACATTTAGTGTGCTAGCTCAAGCTGAGCTAGTGTAAGTCGGTCTACCCAGGCTGGGAGGCTCGCTCTCAGCTGCAGTATACACATACTGTTAGAGCACATCTACCAGATTGGGCCCTGCACAAAACACAGCTGCTGGAGGAGGGAGTGATGGTATTTTATACAAAGTGGAACAGCTTCAACAAGAGAGATTAAGAGGCATTCACCCCAGAATATCCCATAGCCCAGTGGTTAGGGCATAAATTATAAATAAATGGGAGATATCCCAACTGGAAGGGACCTTGAAAGTCATCAAGTCCAGCCCCCTGCCTTCACTAGCAGCACCAAGTACTAATTTTGCCCTAGATCCCTAAATGGCCCCCTCAAGGACTGAACTTATAACCCTGGGTTTAGGAGGCCAATGCTCAAACCACTGAGCTATCTCTCCCCCCGATCCCTAAGTGGCCCCCTCAAGGATTGAACTCACAACCCTGGGGTTACCAGGCTAATGCTCAAACCACTGAAATATCCCTCCCATTCACTGAGCTGGGAGTTAGGAGAGCAGGGTTCATGTCCCTACTTTACATCAGGTAGGGTGGGGATTTGATCCCACATCTCCCCCATCCTGGGTCAGGGCTCTAACCACTGAGATATTTGAAATAAGGGGGGCTCTTCCTCCCCCTCCTTGATTTTTCTTGAAAAAGGGCTGACCTGGCTTAGGTGAAATCCAAGTGGGGGGTAGGGGGGAGTCTGCCTTTGGCCCAGAGTAAGGTACCTAATGCCTTTTGAAGGTGGGACTTAGGCCCCATTCCTCTCCTCAGCATTTACCACTGGCCAGTTTAGGCAGCTCCCTGGCTTTGGTGAATCTCTATTTTAGGCTTAATTCTCCCTATGCATTGGACAATGAGCCTTGGCACCTAACTCAAGGTTGTGAATTCTAGTAGGCAGCAGGGCACCTAACAGTTCAGTGCTGCAACGCTCAGCCCTAAGTCCCCCTTCTCCCACCTTTGCCCTGTTGCACATACATATGCATGCTCATCCTCCTGCACATATGAGCACGTCCTTGTCCCAGAAGATATTTTTCTCATTATCTTTTCCTTCACTCAGATATTTACAAAAGTTAGAGGTGAAAATGAAATAATGGACTCAATTCTCCCTCACACTTGTGCAGCCCCGTTAAGTTCAATGGAAGCCCACAGGTATAAGTGAAGGGAGAATTTAGCCCATGACATTGGATCATCCAGTCTATCTTCCTGCTAACGTACGATTGTTCCTCACAGTACATTTTCTAGTGTTATTTCCAGTCTAATTTTAAATGTCCTAAGTTTTGGACATTCTTACTTTTTACTTCTCCTTGTTCTAATTATAAGCTGCCTATTTACCTGAAATAACCTTCTGTAAAAACAAAACAAACAAAGAAAAAACAAGGAGGCAGAATGGTCTTTAAAAAACAACTACAGAGCAATCAAGACCTCGTCCATTGACCGGTTTCTTTTTTGTTCTTGAGACACATGTGTAACCTGGTTAGACCTGTTTTGTTTGAGCACTAAGGTGTGAGTTGGCCGTATGCAAATGTTTGCAGTCTTTCTTTTCTTTCCTCTCTCTCTCTTTTTTTTGTTATTGCTGCAGACCCAATCAAAAGAACAGGAAGTGACCTAAGGAATTCCCCCATTGGCTGACTAAATGTTCTGCAAAATGTTTTAAAATTAATATCACATTCATTTATCATCACTCCTGTGAGGCTTTTGAAGTGCTAACCTAGCACCTGTGTTTACTTAACACCTGCCATTCTCTAGACAGCCTTCTCATTGCCTCTGCTAAAGGATTTCCCCTTCAGAATCAGCAGCTAAATGAGGTAAGATTTTTTTAACTTCCTTTTGAACGAACACCACTGAGGATAAAAGAGTGCAGAAGTGTGCACAGGAATCGCTCCCACTCAACACACATCTCAGACCCTTTTTCCCCACTTTGAAACTGCCACTAACCTCTTTTAATCAAAAGCTTTTGAGCAATAAAATAATAAACGCTTTTACTCTCCTGTTTTGAACCTGCATCCTGCCCTTGCTTGTGTTTAAAAACACACTCCTACTATTTGTTTTCTTAGGGACAGATCAGCCAGACATACTAACTTTGAATAGTCCCACTGATTTCAATGGGGCTACACATGGGAGTAAAGTTCTATACTCACTGTGAGTAAGGTGGTAGCATCTGCCCCTTAGTTTTATGAGGGTGGTTTTTATAATAATGTATTTAATGATGTTTTGGGGCCTAACTGTGTCACCTTTAGTGACATTAAGTAATATTTTTATCCCCTGCGTAACTGCAGTCAAATCAGTGGGGCTACTTATTTAATAACGTACCACTCAATGTTAGCAAGGGTAGTAGAAGCAGACCCTTTAAAACTGACTGTTGAAATTGGCATGGAGTCTCTTTAGTGTCGCAGCATGTGTAGGCACTATACAAATAAAATGATCTTGCTGTTTTTATAGTAGTGATGGTGGTAATTACGAGGATGATAAAAAATCCTACCTAGCTCATGTTTTGCTCAGTCCTTGCTCCACTAAAACTCCCACTGGTTTCCATTGGGGTTATATCCTAAAGTCCTTAGCCCCTTCCCACTTAAAACTCTTCACTGAAGTCGATGCATGTTCTGTGTGAGTAAGGACTGAATAAAATCTCAGTAAAAGGCTTTAAGAATTCAGCTCCAGCAGTTTTGCCTGTTGTATTCCCATTGACTTCAATGGTAGTTTTACTTGAATAAATACAGCGTATGCTCTTTAAGGTTTAGCCCATTGCAAGTAAGTATTTACTAAAGTCTGTTGTAATATTTTAGTAGAAGAGAGTGCACTGATTTTTACAGCAGGGCTGATCAGGAAATGACACTGAAAGTATAGAGTAGCAGTAATACATTTACTAGTATTTCACTGCTTGAGAGATTTGAAATATTATTTGTGGACCTCCTGGATATATATGTATATATATTCGCTTGTGTCTATACCATATGTTTGAATTATTTTACCTAAAAAAGACATATCACATTGCCTTTCCATTTAAGTTTAAAGTGCATCCAGCTTCTTCGTTTTGTTCATGGGCTCTGGAAAACAGAAACCAGTTCATAATGATAAGAATTATACAATAGCTAACTATAAAGTAAAACTGGTTTAGTTAACACTTATTGTTCTAGTTTTTGGTATATGTGCCTATCTTCAATGTGTCTATCTTCTAGCAGTATTTCTTTTAATTTGTGAATAGTCCTGGTGGGATAATGGATCTGTTCTGAGTGCTGTTTCGTTGGTAAATTTGCTGGTAGCAGTTTAAGCCAGTTTTCTGCTGTAAACTTTGCATTTTATAGTTACCAGCGTTGGAGAGCAGAAAAGACCTATTGTTAAAATAAGTCTGACAGCCAAAGAAAACAGTTGCAATTAAAGTCTTCAGACAAATATGACAAAGATGTTAAGCAACAAATCTCACCATAAAATGTCAATTTCAGCCTAGAGTTTCAATAGGCTGTAGCAGAGCAGACTAATCCTTTGTTTTTCCCACATTGAGACATCATGACAAATTAGGCAGTTGTGACTCAGCCCTTTCAGCGTTAGAAAGCTTTGAGAGAGAAACAACATTTCACAGCTAGTTATAGGGTGGCAAGAGTTCATATTATTCTAGTTGTGGTGGGATCTTGTAATAGAACATGGTCCAGTGAGCACTGGAAATAACAGTTTACTACTGTGTAGGAACAATCTGCTGTCATCCCAGTCAATTAGGACATTATCGTAACATGATATTTTCTCAACACGGAGTTTTTATGAGTGAAAAGAAAGTTCTGTGTCCAGTTCTGGTCACCTCACCTCAAAAAGGATATAGTGGAACTGAAAAAAGATCCAGAGAAGGGCAACAAAGATGATCAAGGGTATGAATGCTCTCATACATGAGAGACTAAAAAGATTAGGGCCGTTCATTTTAGAAAAGAGACAACTAAGGAGAATATGTTAAGGTCTATAAAATCATGAATGGTATGGAAAAAGGGTATAGAGAAATGTTATTTACCTTTTCACACAATAAAAAAACAACAGGTGTCACCTGAATTAATAGTCAGCAGGTTTAGTACAAACAAGAGGATGTACTTTTTCACACAACATGCAACTAACCTGTGGAATTCATTGTCATGAGATGTTGTGATAGCCAAAAGTAAAACTGGAGTGAGAAAAAGAACTGGAGAAGTTCATAGAGGATAGGTCCATCAATGTCCGCTAACCCAGGTGGTCAGGGATAGAACCCCAGGCTCATGAAGATCCTAAAATTGTGATTTTCGGACGCCAGGATTGGAAGATGAGTGGATCGTTCCATAATTGCCCTGTTCTATACCCTCACCCTGAAGCTCTAGTACAGGCCACTATCAGAGGCAGGATACTGGACAAGATGGACCATGGTCTAACCTAATATTATAGTTCTTATGTTCTTATGGACAGATAATTAGATATAGGAATTAGTTGAGAACTGTGAGAGGACAAATTCAACTCTAAAATTGTTCAGTTAACTATAGAATCTCATTCAGCTGCTTTCATTCCCAATGAATAACCATGTAAACATTGGTACTCGTTGTGTCTGGGTGATATAGGAAGAGGAATTTAGGATGGAAATAAAAAAATAAAAACAAAACATCCAAAATCATAGATTAACAGAAATTAGAGATAGAAAAGCTTTGTCACTTTAGGTGAGCCATTCTATCTCCTGCCCAGCCAGAATTGTTCAGCATGTTACCCCATCCCACTTCAAATGATACAATCAAAACTATGAGGACACAAAATAAAGAACATAAAATAAATTAGGTGTTGTTTTTTTTTCTAAAATCATGCTCATCATGCGGAAGTGAGCATCAAGGAGTTAATCTCAAAGCTGGGGACTAGTGGCAATATCTGAAGGAAGTCTTTCAAGAGAGTGGAGATAACACTGCACACGTCCTGCACACAAATTTGAGTCTGATCATAGAAACTCTTCCAGACTCAGCTCTTGAGTTTACATTCCTCATGCATTCTCATGCGATCCCTATTAAAATATCCAAACCAAGGTAAGAGCCACATCCTTTAGTCATTCCTCAAACATATCGCCCACTGACTGCAAATTATATTGATGCGTTCACCTTTTCTGCTGATGATCCTGATCATTGCGATGTTTAGGGACTCAGACATATCTAATTGGTGCTTGAGCTCCTGAAGAAATGTAAGTGGAATGTGGTCTTTTTGAATCATGCTGGTAGCACACAATGCTACATAGTCTCTGATATGCCTTGGTTTGGAAGGTGGATGGCACAGAACACAACTGGCTGACTTAATATTGGTCAATGTGCCAAGACTGAGATATAATTAAACAGCTGACCACTAACCGATGTATTTCTGATGATAACAATGTGACTCCCCTCAGTGTGATTCCCTCAGGTCTTGCATTGCTCAATTTCTCTTCATGCTGCATACAGCTGAGGATTAGGTTTTCAGTTGTTGGTGAGAAAAGCATACAAGGAAAGGTATCACAGGCAGAATTTTCAATTATGAATTTTATAAATGGTTTGCTGAAAAGAAGGTTGTGTCACATTATGTTAAGATGTACTTGGTGCTAAAAAGAAATGTTGGTGACTTTAATATCTGTGCAGCTTGCAATACTGTAGTAACATTAAATTTGGGTCCAGTAACAGAACTTTCGGACAAAAAATGTATTGGATTTTGTTACTAATTTTAAAGACAGTGCAATATTATTTGTAAATCTACTGTTAGAAGAGTAGAAGGCCAATAGCACCAGTGGCAAAGCCCAATGGTTTCAACTGCTCAGTGATCCTGGAGCTTAAGAACTCTCAAAAAGCAGTAACACCAAAAGTATTTTCTTCTTTATTCTTGTCTCTGAGTTAAGCCTGTGCACTGACACGGCAGCCTGCGTATACCGAGGACCTCATCCAGTTCCCATTAATGTCAATTGTTTGAGGATTTACTGCATCACGATGTCAATGAGGGGAGTTGTGACAAGTAGCTGGGAGAAATTTTGTTGTCCAAAAAATGCAGACGTGGGTAGACCAGAACACTGTGTGAATTCATGTTGAATTTGCCAAATTGTTTGGATTTAAAAAAAAATAGAAAAAAAAAACATTTTGTTCTGACATTTTGGAAATGAAATGCTTCATTTTTTTAATTCTGTTTTGAAATATCTGTTTTGAAAATTTAATTTTAATTAAATTAAAAATATTAAAAACTTTTTTGAAACTTTGAAAATGAAACTAAATGTTTTGTTCAACCTGAAACAATTTTATTTTTGACTTTTGGTTCACCAATTTTTGTTTTGACTTTTTCAGAATGGAGTTATTTGCACAGCTCTCGTGATAAGTACATGAATGCCTATAAAGATTTAGTAAAGAAATAATTTTGGTGGTAGTGGCACAAGGACAAGAAGAAGAAGAAGAAAAAACGGTCCAAAACTAAAAAGGGAATTGGTTAAGGGCTAATTCAGCTTCCACTGAAGTCAGTGGGAATCCCTCAATTTACTTTCATGGGAGTTGAATTGAGCCCTATTGGGGTGATCAATCACTATTAATGGCAATATTCAAATCAAGATTACCCAGGGCAGTAAAACAGTATTACTATGCAGCAATGGAAAGAGAACCTTTCCTAATATCTATAAATCCATAAAAGAAATGGAAAGTCTCTGCCCACTATGCAGAAGATACACACAGTGCTGTACTCACTTCTGAGCTGTTTGCTGTAATAATCAGCTCAGGTGCAATCAGAAAAGGCTCAGAGCCTAGAAATGTTTGTAAAAATTCATAAGCTATTTGAAAAGTCCCCTTTTTAGAGTGAGAATAACAAAAATAATCAT